TCGCTTTCGCAATCGTTATTAGAGGTTGTTGCGCAAGCGAGAGCGTTCTGTCCCATATGAAATATCGGCCGCGTTCAATCTCAACCGCGGATACGTTGTAATTAGCGTGCAAGACACCGCGTGGAAGCACGGTACGGTCTAACGCGGCGTGAATACGCGAGATATCGCGGATCGCAGGACACGCGCGTCTGCAAAAATTCCAGATGCCATTTCAGATACATAGGTGCCAGGAGATTCGCCACGGCGCGCCGTGGCGTGGCGCGTTGCAAGTTTGCGGCGAGCACTCGACGTACCAATCTTCGCCTTGGCCTGCCTCCAGTTATTCATCCCGTGGCTGGCTTTTACATCGTATCAACGCTCCTCCTATAATAAGTCATGGGCGGCTGCTTATCGGTTTTACGATAGAAACGAAAACAGTGTTAACGATTTTCCTATTCACCGATTCGCGATCCGAGGCGTCGATAAATCTCGCGGCGTAACACGTAATATACGGCGAAAAGGTAATTGCGCGATGAAAAGGTATCGGGGAACGATCTAATCGTTCCCCTAAGAGCAGATGCGCTGACAGATGGCCGGCAAAGACTGTTCTCAAACACGCGCTACCACTTGCCCCGGGTCAGTATAATCAACCAACTATAAACTGACTCCCTGAAACCCTTTCGGTAGGTTTTTTACGTCACCGTTCACTTGCTCCTGTACAAGGACGACTCGCATACCTCGCGTTCCGTTCTACTGTTCACGCCTACGTGGATTTTTTTTTTGACGAAAAACAAAAAAGAAAGGATTCGATACTCGACGATCTTGAACCGAATCGATTCTCAAAAGCGAACGTTCAGGTGCTGCTGGACGGCTTATCGTTCATCGGCGTCCCGACGACAAGCACGATGGCCGAGGGACGACGACCACGACGACGCGTTCGTCGAGTGTCAACGTCGTCGTGCGTGCAGCGCCAACCGAATTAACGCGATCGCGAGAACGATAAATCGCTTTGCCCCCTTCTCTTCTCGTCTTTCTCGCCTTCTCGCGCATGCATTTTGAATTACAAACGCGAAAGGACACGCGACGTTCGCTTCAAGGATCGAAGACGAAAGAGTTTCGAGATTCGACTCGAACGATTTACCGTCGTCGAACTGTCCCTTCCACCGGCGCGGCGCGGCGCGGGCGGAGCTGTTCGCCGAACGAATCACCGGCTCGAGTCCTTAAACAAGCAGCGAAACGCTTTTGGGACGATCCGTTTAAGCGAGGGCGACAATCGCGCGAACAAAGACGGGAGAGTTTAAATATAGACGGCAGCCGGGCTAAGTTTGTCTTTATTGAGGTTTATGCCTGTCCGCGTCGACCTCGTTGCTTTAAGAAGCGACTCGATTACTCCCGTAGCATGCGCGTAATCGTCGGATCATTTTTTATCGCCGGCAATTAACTCGATCAGCCTTAAGCAATCGAGAGTGCGTTACTCTTCGACGAACCAACGGAAACTGGTCATCGGAGACGACCGTCGCGCAATGCCCCGAAATCGCTAAAACCTGGCCGAAATCTCGAAAATGAACTTCTCGGTAGCGACAAGTTTATTTCTGGATCAGGTGCGTTAGAGGTATTGTCTACGAAGATATATGTAGAACAAGAAATAAAAGCTTGAACGTAATATATAGATATCGAATATATATTTGTAATCAGCTACTACTAGCTGCTACTCTAGTCGTAATATTTATATATAAAATTGTTAACATCCAAAATGCCCCTAATACAAACTTCTGGTTCCACTGAACTTTGTTCAGAGGTTTCGGACATCTGGGACCACTATGCGTCATTGAAATCGACTCGAATCTCTCCGCAAGTATCGCGACCTGTCGCACTGCGTCCGCAAAAAGGGTCACCGTCTCCGCGTTTAAGCGCACGTGTATGCAAATGCGGCCGAGCCGCGCGCGATCGCGCGAAACAAAGGGTATAGGTGCGTAGTGGCGAGCAGCGAGCGCGGCTCTCGCTCGAGCCACAGATAAAACGGAATCGCGTGCGAAGCTGTTGCTTGCTCGGCCGACCGGGTAACGACACGCTAAGGACACGGCGCAAATATAGCGACCGCTTCATGCACGATCGCCGAATCTTTCGGTACGCCCGATTTATTTTACGAGCGGATCGAGAGGCCGCGTTTCAGGAAAGAAGCGGCTTTCCGAGAAAACGATACATCTCCGAGGAATCACGAGCGTGGAAGAGGAAACCTAGAATCGCGCGATCGTTTAACGCCGTCTCCGGTCTGGTTATCGTTTCGCCGAACATCGCCGCGAAGAATGCGGACCGTTTGACCGTTTCATTCGCGGACGAGACATTTTCACGAAAGGAGATGCTAAACGATGCGCCGAGCGACTGTTCGTTAACACGCGGAACGAAGACGACCGATGCCCTCGGACGAGGCACCGTTTCTTACCGCTGGCTCCGTTTCTGCGCGAAGCTCGAGCAGCGAGCTTCTCTTTTTAAATCGTAGCCAAGTGAACGATTGAACAGAAGAGAGACGCGTTCCTGTTGGATGGTTCCGTCGGGCAGTGCACGAGCCAATGAACCTCTGCCGTAGCCTCATTATCGCCTCGCGGTCCGAACGAACGGAGCGACGAGACCGCTGGCGCGTCCGTTTCTCGCCGGTCCGTCGAGGAGATGGAGCCCGCTCTAGTCGGACAAAGCTGTGTACACAAGTACCTACTTGCACGAACGAACCCGATGATCTCTCCGCGTCTGTTTCCACTTGGGCTTTGAGCAGCGTGCGATATCGCGCGGACGGGACAAGGGTATCGTAAAGAGACCAAATAATCTGAAACGCTTCCCGGTTGATCGTGCTCCGAGTCGCAAGGCAAACTCAGACCTACGTGGATCCGCGGTATCGGCGTGACGGTCGATTCAATCCTTATCAATCGATTGGAAATCGCGGTGGCGTTGACAAGACTTGTCCATGGGTAAATCATTGGCTCGACTCGGTTGGCCACGAGCGGTGACATGTTCCGTAGCCCTCTATCAGGACGAGTCTATTAAATCTGCAACAGGACGGAATGTCCGCCACGGCCATTACCATTCCGCCAAGTCGTAAGTTATCTTCGCTGACAGTGGGCGCGCATAGAAATGTCTTCGGCCGTGATACCTCCCGACTTCTTCTTCTTCTTCTCTTTCTTCTTCTGGCTCTCCTGCTTGTTTTTCTTTTACTCTCCTTCTCTCTCTCTCTCTCTCTCTTTCACTCTCTCACTCTCTCTCGTTCCGTCTCTCTTTCTCTCTCCCCCATCTTCTCATTCCGCCCGAGGCCGTCTTTGGTCGCACTGTCAGCCGACGGCACCCGTATCAGTCTTTAGAATCAACGCGCTCGACCCTTTTCGACCACCTCCTCGCGGATCTCCTCGCGGATCTCGTTGCCGCGGAACCTGTTAAATTGTTAATAAGCCCCGAGTTTTTCGGGCAAACACTACCGGACCGTCGGCAAGGGGGAGGCAAGAGGACACCGGCATTTCCATATTCCATATTCCATTCCGTATGGTTCGAGGAGCGCGTAAAGGGATTCGACGCACGCTTCTTTCGCGGCGAAGGTCGCCATTTGGCATTCAACGATCCTGCCGAGCCTATCGAAGCTTCGGATTCGAAGAGGTACTGGACGGGGTCGTGGTGTAACCGATTCGTATAAAATTTGCATCGCATTCCAGGCAGCCGTTGGGGCTGCGAGTAATAGCGGTCGTCGTGCGTCGTTGGTAGATCTCCGAGGAGATCTCACCTCGGCACCTCCGCGAAACTCGCGGACACGGACGGCGAAGAAGGGAAACGGAGATGCGGAGATGCGGAGATGCGGAGATGCGGAGATGCGGACGAGCGGAGAAGACGAGACGAAGAGACGAGAACGTGGTAGTGATGGTGGTGGTGGTGGTGGCGGAGGTGGTGGTGCTGTAGGAACAGCACGAAAAACAGGTAGAAGAAGGTGGAAGAAAACCGGCAGCCCTTCGCTCGTCCCTCTTTTCGAGTGCTTCCAATTCTCTCGCTAGCCATAAAGGTTTTGTTGCTGCCGGATCGCCGTCCAGTTGAACGGTAAATCAAGATGGTTGCTTTACGTAATGGAGTTGCACCGGCCACATCTTAATTAGGAAAAATCTGGAAGCACATCCGTTTCGAGCTCGGCGATCCTAGGTGGAGTTAAGGCGCCCATTGCATTCTCATTAACCGTCCGCTGTTTGAACGCAGCCCGTGCACCGCGCAGCGAATCGCTCGTTACACTATTTATCTTGAGCCTCTGTTTCGCAGAAAACGGGCCTGTGTGTACGTAATAATACGATCGCGAGCCTACTATATCTCTATACAATCTATCTACGGCTTTTCAATATGCGTGCTTATAAATACCCCCGTTAAACGTTGTTCGACCGTCGCGCCTTTCCCCCCCACCCCCTTCTCCTAACAACCAACGCGGAAAGACGAGCGTTTTATTAATAATTAAAACACCGTTAGCCAGAGGAAGCCGACCATTCCGCCGTGAGATTATCGTGTAAGGGACGAGAAAGAGAAACGACCCGCGAGGTATTTTATAGGAATTCATCGATGGCTCGCCAAAGTCAATGTCGCTGCGAGATCGGAATTTCTTATTTCGATCGGGTTAATCGTCTACGATTACCGACCGGTAACAGACCAACACCGACCATTACCGGCCACTACCTACCACCACCGATGCACGCGAATCGATCACGACGAGATTCTGTCGTTCTCTGATGCCAGACGTTCGAGTTTTCTTCAAATTCTTCGCCGCTTTCACCTTTTTTTCGTCGAGTTTACGCGTAAAACGAATAAATTCACGTCATTCGCTCCAACGGACAAATTCAGGTTTACCACGACGGACACTGCGATCGTTGATTGTCGAAATTTCGCCGAGCCTCACGCCGCGTGGTCGCTGCTTTTGACCCTGCGGGGATAGCAAGATGAACGTTTGTCCAAATTCACGTGAAACAGCCAATTACGCTTCTTAGCCGACTATTCGTGGCGTTACCGTGATGACTTCAGAGGCAGATGGCGAGGCCTCGTGTCTCGAGCGACTTCACCGAGAAGTACGAACCACGACTTTATTCCGATTAGCCTAACCCTCAAAGTGATCGCTGTGTTTCGGCGCAGGCGATCATCTGTTTGGACACGTTTCCGAACAAAATCATCGAACTGAACGACTTGGTGAACCAATACACGCCAGACCCGGTCAAGAACAGCAAATACAATGAGAACACCGCCAGACGGAAAAGCAAGTGTCAGTCGACGCTCTCCAGCCCGAGAAACTGGGATTTAAACAGCGTCTCTGATTACGGTAATCATCGGCACCGAACGATCCGATTGGTTTCCCTCGGTAATTCGAATTTCCTCAGTTTCGAGCTACTACTCGCTGTCGATGGGCGATCGCGGAAGGCCGCGCCACGGTGTTTGCAAGAGAAGATACTATAGAACTCGAGGACTGACCGGGCCGAGCACGCGCCGGCGACCCGGCCCGCTTGGCCAGCTTCTGGCGTTTCTGGTCAGCGGTCTCGCGACGTGTACGAAGAAAATTGTGATCGTCCCGTCCCGGTACATTATCGACAACATAATCGCTACTTTCTTTCAAAGGTAAGAGCCAGAAGGCGATGCTCGTTCGGGAGGTAAAGCCGATCCCGTTTATTTCCTGATATAGACGCGAGCTGAGGCACGCGCAATGCGGTCCTTCGCCGAATTGGGACAGCTCTCTCTCGACTTACGTGACCACGGCCAAGAAGGACAACACGATCATTGGAAATCTTATCGATATCATGCGACCCGCTGCGGTGAAACTGATCGCCGACACCACCACCGTAAGAGGATTTTCGAATCGACCTACTCGAACGTGTCTCGACGAAACTACCTTTCGTTCGTTCGGTTTAGTTGAAACGCTGGCTTCAAGCAGTCGCTTTGAACAACGAGTCATCGTCGTCGTCGTCTACCGAGCTAACGAACGCGACTCGCAGGATCGAGACCATCGACTGTTGGGCTTACGAGCTGTTCTTTCATCTCAAGTACCTTCAAGTGAATCGCGCGCCACGGACCACCGACAAAGTAATCCTTTACGTTAATTGTAGCTGTTACGTGCCGTCGTTGCCGCGGTGAATGCGTTCGTTTCCCTTTCGAATGAACGCGAGCGTAACGACAATTTTCAATCGAGCCTCTCAACCTTGTTAATGAAACTTTCGATTCGGCCAGGCAATTACCGAGGCGGATGCAAAGCCGTCCGACGTGATCCACGTCAACTTGTGGCATCGATTGGTCCAGCTACGCGACAATTACATCATACTGTACGAGGCGCTGCAGGCGTTCGACAAAGTTCGCGACCTCGACTCGGAGAAGCGGTCGGAGCGACTCGACTGAGGCTCGACCGGGACTCGATCGAGACGATTCGGACAACGCGACAGCGTCCAACTTTCCCGGGGACGAGAGCGCGAGCCGCGGAACAGGTCTAACTCGAGTAGAAGGTCCGTCGTTCGAGCCCCTCGGCCGTTTGTTTCGACACGAGCGAGCCGACATGACACGCTATTGTGGCTAACATTTAAACTTCGTGCCGAGGAAGGGAACGCGGACAGGCTACGGGATTTTTGCCTCGGCGAGATTGCACCACCCGACCTGCACTCACCACTCGCTCCGCCGGCTTTTTTCCAGGGAGCAACGGCGCAACCTACTTAGCCAGATAAAACGTCCAGCCCTTTTTACGGCGAGGCAATATTATCGGACGATAATATCTACGATTGGCCGAGACATTACAACACCTATATACCGTTCGATTACCAGAGTACGAATTTCTATCTTGACCGGCGTTTCCGCCGCGTCGCCAGGTATTTCCGCGCGTCCAATGGGAAATAAACGTTGCCCCGGCAAATGGAGAAAAGATGCGTAAGATCGGCGCGTTACGAATCGTTCCGGCGTCGATACGAGGAACCAGACGTTGAACGCGATAGTATTATTAACCACTTAGCGGGGCAGACGCGTACGCTCGACGCGTGCATTTCTCTCTATAGTGTTCTTCGAGATCGTCTGCGGTGCATCGAGCGTGAATAGCACTTGTCGTAAACTCGTAAAAGGTCGATACCCCGCGAACTTGTAACTCCGAATAGTTGCACGCGCGTTCTCCTACGTTCTTTCGTCATGGGCAACTTGTCCGGCGAAGTAGATCCGGAGAGAATACGTCGAGCCGTCGCGCAGCGGGGTGTTCGGCCGATCAGGCCGGCCGCAAGTCCATTTTAAAGATTTCACTTAAACCGAACAATTTTTGCTGTCTGAGATAGCCGAGTATGTGAAGAACAATGTCTTACACATTTTGTTATGCTTGGAGCACTCGAAAAATGCTGAACTATCCCGAACGTTAAAATTTCTCGCAACACTTTCGGTATGTTTTAGAAAAATTTTACGAACTGTTCATCAGTATCAAAGTTTTCAGGTAAGTATACACTGTACATTTAACAGTTGGAGTACTATGGATCTATAGATCTACAATACCATAAGAGCAATATTTTTAAGCGCCCACAATATTCAAAGGATTAATCGGAACCGATCCAGCGGTTTAGCTTAGAAAATTGTGCGGAAAGCGGTTCACCGCGTCAAACCTTCCAACAGGTTTCCTCCGGGGGCGTGGATCAATTCGAGTCTTCTATTCCCACAGTAAGCGCAACTGCAAATCTTTTCTGCGGCTCGGGGGAGTGGCGGCTACCACGATCGTACAGTTGCGGAACAATACACCAAACACTCGGTGCTACCTATAGATTTAACTGGGACCGGAATGAGCTGTTACGCTCCGCATCTACAAGATCCAGCATCTGTGTAATTCTCAGATAAATTTCTCGAGAGGCACCGTAGCCTTGACGTCCCGTAACTTTTCCGACAACGCGAGCATCGATGGGAAACCGAAAGCTACAGGCGCAACGCCATCGTAATTGCTCGTTCACGAGATCAAGCTTGCGGCGAGTCGGAAAGCTTTTATCTCGCGGCGAATGAGTCTCTTTTTAAATTGCCTGTAATTAGGAGTGTGGCCGAGATACCGATCGACAGCACGGTGCCGCGCTGCAGCGGTGAACTCGATCGCGACAAGAATGGATGACGAATGGGATCGCTAAATCGACGCGAATGGCTTCGCAACAAGCGATCGGTTCGCGAGATCGGCACACGCGCAAAACGATTCCGTGACGGTGATAAATGCAGCTGTTCACCGGAAAGCGTGGAGATTCTGTTTCACGATCGAAAGGGAGGAGCAACGCCATCGATTTCGTTGCGTCTGCAGCCTAGCAAAGAGGTGTCGTTCGTAAAGATGTTATTATGTTGCCAGCGCATGGCTCGTCTTGGCAGGATGCGTAACGTTTAATTTTATTTCCCATGGGCCTCGTCGAGGTGGGAAGGAAGTCGCAGGGGAAAAACGGTGGAAAGTTTGCAAACGATCGTAAGGTAGAAACGCTTTTCCCCATAGACTGATGGGTTAGGTATCCGTTAACGCATCTAGCCAGAGGTAAAAGCGTTAAACGAGTATCGACCCCAACTAACCTATGATCTTGGTTAATGGTTGATCTCGAGTTAAGCCTCGCTCCATCCATAACAGCCTCGAACGAAATCCCCCGTACGGCTCCATCGTGCGAACGAACGGTAGTCACGACTCTGATTACGAACCATAATACCATGTAAAATGCCGGAGAACCGCACGAGGGGAAAAACACACCGAGAGAAAAAGGGGGCTTGCTGTGCAACCGGAGTTCCGGACCGTGATAAGGCCCGAGTAATTGGCTCCGGGTCTTTTATCGGCGAAAGAAAGCCAGCGAATTCGTATTAGCGATCGTGTCACCGTTGATCAGGCAAAAAATCGAATCGCGATGTTAATTCGAAGAAACTGTTGTGCCCGTAGCCGAACGGTGGATAGGCAGAAGCGTTCCTCGAGCGGAGAAAGAACAGGGACCGTGGTCGTAAGATCATAGACGAGGCTAGCAAGATCCCCCTGAACCGTTAGAGTTAACGACGAGCGCTTTCCTACCTCTCCGCGATCTTTACGCCTCGCAATTCTACGAGTGGATACGTCCGCGATAGCACGGTAGCGCGAGGAGGCGGCCGAACGCGGAGAAGATCCGTCCAGAAGACAACGAGATAGAAACACGATCGTAGAATTTGCGCGAGGTTTGACGCAACCGCTTGACAATTAAGATAGAGGTACGTTTGGGGGAGATTTGCATCCACGGCGTATCGAATAATCGATCGATCCTCGGATAGGAGGATAAAAGGCACAGCTGACCTCGTTCTTCGTAATTTGTAGCCGCAAACGCGCGTGTGCACGTGTACGCGCACAACGGTACACCGTTTCGCGAATGGTCGACGTAACTGGAGGCCAACAATGCTCGTTTACCCGTCGAGGTTCGTGCAACGGCGCGGTAGAAAGGAAAATGATTTTATAATAATCATCGAGGCCTGCACGGTTGTATCCGTCTTCTAGCATATAGCGAAACAGAATCGTGGGTGTGTACCGCGGGCATGCTGCTCGGGAACAATGTGACATTATGGTAAATGACTGGGACCATTGTCGTCGAGAATGCTCGCCGTGCACTGTTACGTTTCATACTAACGCGACCGGTTCGAGAGCGTTCGGACTTTCCTCGTCGAAGCAGGGCGCCGCTGCCCGCCGCTGCCCGCCGCTGCCCGCCGCTGCCCGCCGCTGCCCGCCGCTGCTCGCCACGCCGCGGAGCGGAGCGGCGGGAGGACATCGGCATCTTCCTCGGCTTGCATTCGAGGCTCGCCAACTCGAATTGGAAATGGAAACTCGGCGACTCGCGGGGAAACTCCGCCGGCCAATAATACGCATACTTTCTAAAAGGTGGTGCACGATTACAGAAACCACGCTTCTTTTCCGTGGATACCGGAATAATTTATAATCCAGGAAAACACGTAGCGCGAATCTCGAGTTTCAGCCGGCCGTCTAACCGCACTCGCGTGTCTTCATCTGCCGCGTTATATACGCAAGAGCGGTCGTCTAGAGATCCGTGTGCTGTACGCGTTGTCCTCGACGCGCGCTCTTTGTCCGATCCATGAAAATACGAATCACGGGACGGACGATCGATCGTCGAACCAACGCGTCTAGGTATATCTCGCGTTGCGTAATGCTTGTTTATCGCGCGATCAATATTTCGCGATTAGAAATATGTATATTGTTATCCGCGTCGACGTAAATCCTCGATCCGATAGCCTGGTATCGTTTTATCTCCCGGCCGCGACGTAAACCGTAACAGTACCTTGTCCACGAGACTTAACGATGCCCATCATTTTAACTCGTCGTGTACGCGTTTTATACGGCCGTTAGAAAAACAGAAGAAAAAGCTCGGAATCCCGGAAATTGAAGCTCCTCTGCCATCTGAGACGAAGTCGACCCCGTTTCTCCGCACCGAAGTTTCCACGTACGATTCAGAAGCGGTCGGCCACTCGGACTTTTCCTCGTTACTCACGCATAAAAAGGTATTGCGGCTATATAAAGTCAACGGCCGTTCGGGCTCCGCGCCGCGCCGCACCGTGCCGTGCCGCGCCGCGCCGCGCAAAAATAACATGTAAATCACGCTCTAACTGCTATACTTAATCATAAACCGGCAGAAAGTTTATTGCCCCGAGAAGGTTGCGCCTATTATCGTTAAGCATTATTATCATTATTATTATTATTATCATCTCTGTTATTATAGCGGACTCGAGAACCCATCAAAAAGTTGATGAAGGTAGCCGTGCGGTAAGCCACAGAGTACCGTGCACTCGAACTCATTGACAACCTATATCGGTAGTCGTAATGCGACGTGATGCAACATCGAACTCGTCGAAGCGCGCGGTGTCGTAACTTCTAATCTCGCGAATTCGTCCGGAAAACGAGCGATCGCCGTAAACGATTCGGCGGACTACGAACTCTCGGAACGCCCACGCGCCCCGCGGGCCGAACTGAGCGCGCGGCGCGTCAATGTTACGCGCGAGATAAGATTATAGTGGCCGCGTTACTACGATATGCGTCGTATTTTACGAACCGCGTTGCCCAACAAATCGTTCGATCGACAGTAATTGTTGTCCTCGGTAATACAACACCGGCACCGACGCAGGGAATACGTACCGTTACAGGGGCCTCATTAGCGCGGTTGATCTATAGCTGTGGAAGGATAACGGTGGAAAACGTCCACGTCGTGAAACACTTGCAACACTTTCCACGTTACCGTCGAGCGGATTACGCAACCGCAGGTGTATATTTCGCTAAATGTTTGCAGGGGACCGGGTATCTCGTGGTCACGCGATCACTTTTATTCGTCTAGCGAAATTCGCTTCCTTATACCGAGCGGGCCCTCCGCCGACCGAGGAATCGCGGGGGGTAATTCCAAAGT